TATGGGAACCTGCATTTAAAATCTTGCATCCAGGATCAGTTGTTTGATCATCTTGATCATCAGTGTCTAGAATTTAATAAAACACTAAAACCAATATATTACAGATAAACATATGAATTATCCCTGGTAACCGTTCCAAAACGTTGTCTGCCTGGTTGCTGTCTTGGTTAAATAATAGAATATAATGTTATAATAATAGCTTATAATACCCATGGCTCAGGGTCAGTTGAGTTTAGTTGTTATATGTAGATCGAACATTGAAAGTGAGAAAATTGTACATAAAGAAAGTATTTTCTGGAGTGGAGCTAGTTAAAGTTTTTTGAGAGGAAAAACAATGAAAGATATCACTGTGCTGAATGTAAAGAGATAAGATGCACTATTTTCTTTCTTCTAGTTTTATCCCCACTTATGAACATTGCGTGGAGACACTGTTGACAGTTTTCAATTCTCCCACAGCGTACCCTTTTGATTAAAAAGCAGCAAAAGAAGAGGGCTGATTCTCAAATGGTGGTAGCCAATCGGGATACGCGCCAAAAGAACCGAAAGCACAAAGCTTCCCGCTCCGATGAAACACCTCTATTGATCAGCCAGTCCCTGAGCAACACATCCCTGAGTGGTTAGTATTAGAATAACAGATAATTAAAACAACTTTAGACTTTTTAAATAGAAAATCTAATTCCAAAGCAAAATAATGCCCAGTTTCTTTAAAAATATTAAATACAAGTTGTTGTTTCTTTTCCTGGAGATCAAGTTGAACATGCCCATGATAATCCATTGGACGAGATCACGTTGGGTGAATGTGACATGACAGCAAACATGATGTCAGATGAGATGCCTTCAGAGAAGCCCGTCACTCCCAAGAGAATGGACTTGGAGATTGACAAAGAGGCTGAGGTGAAGTGTGAAGCGGAGAATGATGCTCAGGTGGAGGGAAAAAAGACAAAGAAGAAAGAGCTGAAGAAAGAAAAAGCCAAACGTGAGTTTATTCTAATGAGAATGTGTTTCAGCGTGGTCTGGGGCTCTGCATGTGTTTGTGCATGTTCTGTGTTTTCATGCATGCATGTGTAATGCTAAGAAGCACTTTGCTTTAATAAATAATTCATCAGAAACTCACTGCTTTTTCAGAGACGGAACAGAATGATGAACAGGAGACGGAGAAGGAAAAAGACAAGGAGAAAAAGGAGAAGAAAACAAAAAAGAAAGACAAAGTGAAAGAATCTGAAGACCCACAGAAGACAAATAAGACAACCAAACAAGAGCGTAAAAGTAACATCAATGTATCATTAACACATCAGTACTATGCATGAGATCCTATGTGTGTTGTGTATAAGGAGGAAAAAAACTGCCTCACAGTGTTCAAGATTAAGCTTTAACATTAACACATCCTTTACAGAGAAGCACTTACTGGAGCCTCCAACCCAGGAGACAGAGTCAGTGGTGGAGGTGGCAAGTCCAAAGAAGAATAAACTTGATGAAAGTGACGATGAAGAGGAAGACGGGTCCCAGAGGCCTGTCACTCAAACGCCTAAGAGGAAAAAACAACTCGACACATGTAAGCAACAGTGTGGCCTAGTGCATTTTATGATTGACGATAAGTTAAAGTTGAGATTAATGCCGCGTGTTATCTCCACAGCCAGGTGCCAAATAAGTGACGACAGCAAAGACGAGGAAACCCAGGAAAAGGAGAAAAAGGAGAAAAAGACAACCAAAGCAGAGAAAACTACGCCGAGTCTCGCCTCCCTTAACTCCAACTACAGGAAGGGTTCATCTTCAGGCAGTGAATCTAATGAAAGAGTGAGACATTAACAACTGTTTTGAAACTTAAAAACCTATTTGGATTTGTTACAGAGAGCATATAAAATTAGATTTTCTCATTTCAGTCATCCTCTCCGATGTCAGTGGAGGATCTTGAGAAGTTTACTTTGCGTCCGGCACCCAGAGATGTGACGATCCAGTGCAGGGTCACCAGGGACAGGAGGGGCATGGAGAAGGGCATTTACCCGACTTACTACCTCCACATGGAGAAAGAGGACGGCAAAAGGGTTGGCAAAACTGTAAAGCTATCAATGTGCACAGGGGTGGTAGTTCTAGTCTGTCTCTGTCTGTTCTGACATTTGTTTTTCATTGTGCCGTCACTAAGGTGTTTCTAATGGCAGGCAGAAAAAGGAAGAAGTGCAAAACATCCAACTATCTCATCTCCACTGACCCCACAAACCTGTCCAGAGACACAAACTGCTACATTGGAAAACTACGGTATGACTCTTTTATTTCTACCTTGTGAAAGAATACTAAACCAAATCATTTTGTCCTGATTTCATTTACATTTTTTTCCTTTACTCAAAGGCTCCATTTTCATGTTGTCACTTCAGTTAAAGGTTTCCACGGCTCCTCTTTTTTGTGAATTATCTGCTATCTTTATGCCTCCACCTCTTTTTACAATAGAGTCCCGCAGGAATGAGTCCTAAAAGCCGGAACTGAGGTAGCATTGTAGCTCCTGCCTCGAAGTCTATGGGTTTTTGTCGCAATGCCTGAAATAAGGTCTTTGGTTAACACAAGAGATATTCACGTTTTGTACAAAATAAAATGTGAAAGTGTGAATTTTGAAGCCTCTACGTTTATTAGAAAAGGTGATTGCTAACAAGTGACTAAATGAGACTTCCCAAGGTTTTCTGTGACATTAAACATCAGTATGCTGAACACGGAGACTTATCTTCTTACCTGTCAGCCTTTACAGCCTCATTATGTTTATATTCGCACTCTTGCAAAATATTCTAGCTCAAACTTCCCAACTTGTAGATTTTAATTACACAGTTTACAAGTTAGAAGTTTAGTAGTGGTGACACTGAAGTCATGCGACCGTGGGGTTGTTTGTCTATAGCCTAACGTTAGCGTTTTACCTCTGGCAATCAGTTATGCTTCAAAAATCTTGTGAATATTAACTTGCTGAACAAACTATGTGAGTATCATAAACCTTTGTTCACCACAGAGCTTATTTCCTGCTTCAGTTTTTTTTTCATTGGCTTTTCGTTGGCGATGCTAACTACAAAAATACGTCACCCCTGCAAGCACTCTATTGGTTGGACAATGAACTGCTGACACTTTTGAGTCAAAAGTCACTGTGATCTCAAAATGACCTTGACAAACTCAAGAACTGATGTGGTAATTATGACAAAATTTCACACAGATATTTAACAGTATACAGCGATGAAGTGATGACACTTTATTACCCAAAAGGTCAAAGGTCAACTTCAATGTGACATGATAAGATCACAGTGTTATTGGCCATTATTCAACATCATAACTCAGCTACAGAAGGGGAGCCGTAATTTAAGAATGAACTGACTGATTCCAGATATCACACACATGTTGACTGGGACAACACAATGAGTTCACAATAACTAGCACAGTATGTGCTTTCATCTTTCCATCTCATCCATTCTGCCTTTCCCTGCCTCATTCTCAATTTTGAGCATCATCGGAATAACGTGACTGCAAACAACGTTTTGCAGTGCGCCTAGCTAATGGTGATTGTGTGAGCGCGACGTTTTGTTTAGCTATACTCTACAAGAATCCATTTTTACATTGTAAACAAGTACATGTGTAATGTATATTCACTGGAATGATACATATCTATCATCAGTTGTGCCAGAAAATACACTTTATACCTTTTATCAAATCCCAATCAAGTATTCACTACATACATTATTATTACACTTCTTAGTCAGTAACACAACCTTGGGGCGGTAATTCAGAACTCCTTTAGATAACATTCAGAAATGCACTTCATAATGCTAAACAAGTGACTCTCAAACCTGGACCTGAAGTACTTATTTCTGGCAGACATTTTGACATGTCATAGCAAGAAAAATAATAACCTTAATAAAAGCTGTGTTCCATTGAAGTGTCCCAATGTCCGGGCTCTGGTTTTGTGCCTAATGGCTACTGGGACACCCACATGGAGCAGAGTCATTGTTAATGTTATTAGTGACACCTGTGTGTTTTCTGCTATGGCAAGTAAAAACGTCTGCTGTGAAAAGGAGGCTATAAAAGAAAGTGTTGCCATAATTGCTTCAGACCTTTCTAAGTTTTCACTTCCATGATTCAGCACTGTAAATGAACAGGCAATGAAAGTTTAATTTACATTTATAAATTAAACTTTCTCCACCTACAGTTTTCATGCTGTAGTTAATTGTAGGACACACTTCATGCTGAAGGCAATACATAGCAAAAACCCAATTTTTCCTTTTTTATTTTTTAATTTGGCATTTTTGTAATACCTATTTGATTTGTGGAAGCAATCATTTTACATGGAAGTGAATGCACCCCATGGCTATGTTTCTTCATTCCACAAACCTTTCACCTCCTACCTTGACAGATTTCATATGATGTATCTGATGAGACTTCTTTTTTTTTTTTATTTCAGGTCCAATGTTCTTGGTACAAAGTTTACAGTCTATGATGGAGGTGAAAACCCAGAGAAAAAGCCTTTCATCAAAGAGTGTGAGTCAGTGCGGCAAGAGCTGGCAGCAATTTGCTATGTGAGTTCAACTTTACTCGGTACACTTAATATCCCACTTAACACAGCATATGAAGAGATAAAAACCTCTAATACAACTGGCTTTTTGTGTTCCAGGAGACAAATGTGCTGGGGTTTAAGGGTCCCAGGAAAATGACGGTGATCATCCCCGGTATGTTGGAGAACGATGAAAGAGTGTCCATTCGTCCGAAAACTGTACGTTTGATAAAGTAATCCTCAGTTTTTAAACCCTGTGATGATGAAGAATACGTGTGACATATAATGTGTGGATAGTGTGAAAATACTGACATTTTTGCCTTATTATAGGAACTTGAGACTCTACTGGCCCGCCATGCGAACAGCAACACAGACAAACTGGTCACCCTGGTGAACAAATCCCCGAGCTGGAATGAACAGACTCAGTCGTACGTGCTTAACTTCCACGGACGTGTCACCCAGGCCTCTGTCAAGAACTTCCAGATCATCCACCCTGACAATGGTAAGATGTGACTGACTTGTTTCTCTCATCTTCAGTCAGCAAACACAATGAAAATGGCTGTCTTGTTTTCATTCCTAACATCACCGTGTCCTCTCTTTCTGCCCCCCTCGCTGCTGATTTTTACAGAGGATTACATAGTGATGCAGTTTGGCCGTGTAGCGGAGGACGTCTTCTCTATGGATTACAGTTTCCCCATGTGTGCCCTGCAAGCCTTTGCCATCACCTTGTCATCTTTTGATGGCAAACTGGCCTGTGAGTGACCCATGCTGGTGTGCCTCAAATGCTTAACTAGATAGATAATCTAGATAGAAACTTACGGTTTAAATTAAAGCTATACCCATGATTTTCCACAGGGTCATTTTTCATGGTTTGTATCCTGGTGCATTGTAACACTTTGTGTACAAAAGAATGCCACAGACTTAGACTTGTTTTATAGGTCCAGTATTATTGTACCACTGGTTTTATATTGAAGTGGAAGAACAGTCGTTTAAGTTAGTACATGTTAATTTAATGGTCTTTCTTTTTATATTTGCCAGATATGTAAATTACTTGTGCAATTAAAATATTGGGGACAACTGTTTAAACACTACCAGTGAAATATTAAATGATAATAATACATGGTTTGCATGTTTGTGAATGTTTTTTTTCCCATTTTAAACAGAAATATAGATCTGTACTGTGTGTACTTTAATGTCTACTCGTTGAACAATCACAATCTTAAGCGGCAGGAGATTTTCCAACACAATTTTATCCTTCCAGAATCATCCCATCAGATCTTCACCAGTCAGATTACGTGTTATTTTCCGGCCAAAAGTTATCTAGCTGTTTGCTATCGTGTTAAGAGTCTTTATCACAAAGAAGGAAGCATTTTTATCAAAGCACTTAAAAACTGAAAAAAACTTTTATCAGATGTTGCGGAACTGCAACAAGTTGCAGATAGAGGGAGAGATCAGGGTTTCTATCTTGCACAATATAAAGACTTGAAGATGTTCCCTTCTCACAAGAATTTCATTGCTGATCTCAAGCACGTTCACACTGCTTCTCATGGGGGGACAGAAAGTAATTTCAGTTTCAATAAATAGAAATAGGCCTCTGTTATGCTCTGTGGTAAAAAAAGGTGATCAGAACTGCACAGATATTTTTGATGGCAAAAAGCCCCAAATTAAACCGTAACCTCTGTTATCATATTGACACGACTAACTGCATGGTAATACGGTGTACTTGTTTCCTGTTCAAATGCTCTTCAAGTTATATTTTAAATAATGGAGCCTTGAGTGTATCGTCTTCTTAACTTTCAACCTTTGCTAGTACTTGCTGCAACAAATGATAAAGTTGACCTTTACTTTACCATACCCCCTTTGGACCACTAATGAACAGCAAAATGCATTTAAATACAAATCAAACTGAAAACAAACAACAGAGTGTGTGTATGCCAGTTCAATTAAACAAAAGTGAACTGTGTTAGCCTGCTGAAGATGACTTCCTTTTGATTCTGTTGCAGATTACTTCATGCACTATTGTATGTACGACCTAACACATTGAGACACACATAGGCTACACTACTGGTGTGTAAGTTAGTATGTTTACAGCAGTGATTCTCGCCGAGCCACTGCAGGTAGGTTATGGATGTCCAGGGGAAAGATATCAAGTGGAGCAATGTTGAATGAATATGATTTATGGAGGAAAAATAAACAGAGTTTGCTGATGTTTTTGTGCTTACCTTCATTTCAATAAAATTGGTTTTGGTTCACCTCAAACTGTTAATGATTGCTAAAAATTGTGGGGTGAGAAAATGTTTGAGAACCACTAGTTTACATACAGCAACAAAATCACCTCAGAGGAAGACACTGTCAGCTCGTATCTTTTACAGAATCACCACAACACACAGCCTACGTTCAGCTGGTACTGCTCAATGCATTGCACAACACTCTGGTAAGTTGCACAATAATTGATATATTGCAATCGCAGGATGCTCCATCTAGATTTAAAGATGTGTTTTGTCTGTTCAGTGCATAAACAGTGCCACTTATTTGAAATAGATATCTCTGGATTAGTGAAGGGCAATCTTTATTTCTGCTAAAAATAATAATATAAATGACAGTGAAAAGATAATTGATGTACAATATGAACCATAACATATGAACAATATATTTAGTGGTATCCAATTTAAGGGGTAAAAAGGGACCGAATTACACTGGCTAACTTTTGACACTAATGACATCTGACACTAATGTGTCTTCATCGTGGTAAAAATAGACAAAGATATAAGGCAATCTAAAATAGAATCAGTTGTGTGTCCAAGTGCCGAGTCCAATGCACCATGCAGTGTGTACAGTGCAAATTGTGTATGTAAAGTTTTAAAGAGAAGTTAATTTATGTTTGTTATTGTGTGAGTTTCACCTATGTGTGTATTTTGGTGACTTATCGACTTATCAACCAGAACGAACCTCACCACAGTGCTCATGTGATGAGGTAAATGTCTTTTTAACTTTACAGTAGCTTACCAGAAGTGAATACAACTCAAGGACTGTTCTAGGTTCACTGTGTGTCACTCAGCATCAGGGTGAAACATTACCAGACCCAAAGCATTTCAGATTTTATAATCAATTGGGTTTTAAAGCAATTAAAAATGGGGTCTGGTGATCTATTGTTTAACTAAATTTTATGAAAAAGACATACCAAAGTCAGTGCAGAGTATGATAGATTATGTGGTTGTCACGTGGGACTCAAGCCTAACCCCTTTCACATGCTTTCCATTTTACAACTGCTCTCTTAAAAAAGCATATCCTCTCCCACAAGTGACAGATAGCAATCAGTGTGAAAACACTGACTTACACCTCCCTTTCTCAGTTTACATTAAATACAGTTTTCACAAGACCTTTCGGGCAACATGACTTAATCAAGACCTCTCTGCGCCGAGGTGATGTCTGGACCACCCGGTGTGATGGATTGGTGCTCTCCACCGAGGCTGAAGCTGAAGCTGATGACCCTGTTTCTGCTCGCATCTACCAGCATTGTCTGTCTGCACGGAAATCCTGTCACAGGTTATGTCTCTGCCAGTATTTTCTATGAAAGAAAATGATGTCTGTCTACAGATAAAACATGTAAATGCTCATCAAGGTTGCTTAGATTGTACCTAAATTGCCAAATTACTGACTGTATGACAGACTCTTGTAAAATGTAAGATGCTTTAAAAACTAAATATAATACATACACTAGAAGTTTGAATGAGCTACTTATAGCATGTGTCATCTGTTTAACTCATTCTAATTAGGACCTCAGCTATGGCTTATTTGACCTTCGATCTTCTGGGGAAAATCTGCATATTGGTCACTGTAATTGTTCCCTGTGTCCAAATTAGCTCCAAAGACATCCCCTCCTATAGCTATTCAATATTAAGCTTCAGCAGTCCGACTTAGACGAATCAAGTGGGCATCTTCCTGAATTAAAGTCTTATTATAGTCACTAAAAACAATGTTAGTTTGGAATATGGCCACATTTGAGTTTAGGATTGTAAAGTTTTTTTCTCATTTCTCTCATTTTCATCTTTCACTGAATTTGCTTTAAGAAGGAATCTCTAGTATGGGCAGAAGAAACAATTACACACTTTAAATATACAGATGGGCATGTGAGTGCTTGTTCTTGACTGAGTTCTTGGACTCTATGGGAAATCAAACAAAAGGAAAAAAACGAATATATTTAAAATGTAAAGGCTCACTTTTTTTTTACAAAATGTTCGCGTGTATAATGGTTTGTTATGGATCTCTAAAGCATTAATAAATACTTTTAGCATCAACTAACTAAGCATTAAGTAACATAACAGTGTATAAATCCTCACGAAGCGGTGCACCATAAGTTCAAGTGGTATGATAAGTAGTACAGTGACAGTCTGGGTTAAACTTGACACGTTTTGACTCCTGATGCATTTAAAATCAAACATTGCTTGTATATTTTTTTAGGTGTGGACTACAATCTGCACTGTGTGAATGATTACCTGTACACCATCAACTGCTCCCTGAGCATCCCTCCATCAGGGAACACCTCAGACACCAACGGCTTCTACTGGCTCACTATAACATATTACGAGTGAGGCCCCTTTTTTTTTACTGGCACATATTATTCATTGTCGGCCTTAAATGTGATGTTGTTTCATTAGTGTTTCTCCTCTCCTTATTGTGCAGAGAGGAGTTTGAGTGCAAGCTGACAAACATCAATGAGGATTACTTCTGTTCTGTTAAAACATCCAGTCCCTTTGACGATCTAGACATCTATAAAATCTTACTTTGTCACAACCAAAATGATGGGTCTAAAATCTGCGATATGCTAGATGATGAATATACACCTGTGGAATACAGTAAGGAACACCCACAACACATTCACATATATTCCTATAAAATATACACGTCTGTCTTTTTAAAAACCTGGTGTTGGTGCGTGTTTGTGTCCTCTTATCAGTTAAACCAAACGCACCGTGCTGCCTCACAGTCAGCCACAAGTCAAGTCAATGGCACTTCATCTGGAAAAGTACCTACGAGGACTATGATTTCATCACTCTGGGTGAAAACCTGAAGTATCAACTCTATTACTACCAAAGAGGAGACAAACAAAATGTAAGGTTCAATGTTAAACAAGCACTCTTTGTTGGTGGGGATAAGAGAATAAAACCTGCCTTTTGTGCAACAGTTTTGGCCTTTTGGTGGTAAATCAATTGCAAATCAATGGAAAGTGAGAAATGTATTTCAACTGTAAAATGATGAATAATGTGACCATTACTGGTGCATTTGACTGACCAAACTACTGTCAATAATTTAACAGATTTCAGAAAGTAATTTTCCATTTTCTGGAACTCTTCTTGTGACTGCTCAGAGTTGCTTCTTGAAATAAGTAACTTCATCAGTGGCCAATGTGGCCATCAGATCAGAGTGGTGTCGGTCTGTGGGTGAAACTGTGACTTTATTTGTCTTTTCCACCACAGACGCTTGTTAGAGTAAGAAAAGTGCACGTTTAACTAACAATTATGGCTCGGTTGACACCCAATGAAGCAGGGACTTTTGGGGGCTCCTGGGTCAATCTAGCACTATTATTACATCTGGGCTTTTCCTTCTATGGTGGCATGTCAAAATATTTGCAGTGTAAAAAGTCATAACAGGATTTGTATAATGTTGGAAATAACTGACAGCACCTTAAAACCCACCTCCTAAAACAGTCAGAATCTTTGTAGTACACATTAATTATTTTCTTACCATACATTATACCACCTATTATACTATCTACAGCTCTATCCAACTGAATAATGTACATGCTTTATTTCTTCCAGGTGAAATTCCATGAAATTAACATAGACAGTAAGAATTATTCTGTGGATGATCCTAAATTTGTGCCAGGCACAGAGTACGCTGCCAGAGTGCGGTCCAGTCCTAATATGGCTTTTTACAAGGGAGAGTGGAGTCACTGGTCCTCTGAGGTTCACTGGAAGAGTAAGATGAATGGTGAGTCTCCTCCAGCTGATCTAAGCTTCATCGAGAGAAATGTCATGTTAAAGGCAACTTGTTGAGAAAGCAGCTAATGTAAATTCTTTGATCCATGTGTATAAAATCCCTTCCTTTGCCTTTTTAAAAATAATATTTTCTACTGTATGTTAGTCCATACAGATCCCCCATCCAACACATATGTTTCCGGTCTGGGTAAGGTGTTCATCCCCTTGTGTGTGACGGTGCCACTTCTCTTACTTTTGTGCTATGCTCCAGTTTTAAAGTAAGTTCCTCCTCCAGCGTTTTACTCCTCAATGAATGCCAAATCACAGTATAGCAAATGCTGTTTCCTACAAGCAATATCCACTAAATATTATCTTTATATTCTTCACATTTACAGGTGGAGGCAAAGCACCTTCATCCCAACTCCAGCACCCTATTTCCACACCCTGTACAGTGACTGCCACGGAGATTTCAAGGTAAGTTTTGCTTGTTATATAAAATACTGACATTGATCTCATGAGAAATGTTCCTTAACATGACTGTAATTACAGAGCTGGGTGGTTACTCAAGAAAACACATCAAAAATGCTGAAGGCAGAGGAAACGCTCCAAATTGACACGCTAAGCAAGTGTGCAGATATCCAGGAGGAAGAGTGCCAGAGCCAGTTTCCCCAGCAGTTAATGGAGAACAGCACATACAGCAATATAATTGACCCAGGCTGTGATACCTCTCTCCTGGGCATCCCATACGCAGTAAGCACCATGGTTCCACCGTCAACTCCAGGGAGCTCACAGCCAGGGAGCCCTACTGAAGGAGACTCCGGGTGCTGGCTCTGCAGCCACACATCCCTGGAGAGGGACCCTCCCTTTTACTGCAACGAGTACTGCACCCTGAGCGCCTTCCAGCAGTCTAGTCCCGTCACAGCAGGGAACGACGGGAGCCTGTCAACAAAATCCTGCTCAACAGGGATGATCAGAGTGGATGCCACTGAAGCATAGGCCGCTGTGTTTGTATGTAGTAACTGGAGGGTAAAATACTGTTAAGTTGAACTTTAAATACGGTTGGGCCTAAAAGTTCAACTACGCACATTTACAAAGATGAATGTAAGGCTTCAAAACAACTGCTTCAAGCTAAAATAACTACAGTAAATTCTTCTTTATATTATTTAGGGAGAACATTATTGTAAAATGCTCCCACAGCATTATGCATAGTCAATTATAATAATAATTGCATAGCCTTTTGCTTGCATCACATGAATAAATTGTTTAAAGAAACAGTACAAAGTACATTCCACAGTTAAGAAAAATTCATTTTGACCATTTTCTTGACTGAAGTTTGCGTTGTTTCTGAAATCTTGTGTATATGTTACTCATTTAATAAAGAAAATCCAATGTTTTTGTAGAAAGTTTTATTTACGCCAACACATACATGAACAAAGCACCATATAACCTTAAAGTCTGATACAGAAGTAAGCCTACCTGCCTCAGTCATCATGGCCATTTTTATTTATTCCATAGCAAACACTCTGAATAACAAAAAGACAGCCAAGGCAGCAGATTCTATCATATATTACAGCATGCTGAATAGAAAACCTGGGAAAGAGAATTAGACAGAGCCATCTAGAGACACTAGTGAGATACAACAGTATAAAAGTGCCATTCATTATACAGCAGTTGAAATACTGACAATGAAATAAGCTATTTTTACATTAAATTTATGGAAAATAAAGGGGGAAACATAAAGGAATAGACCCTGTGAAAGAGCAAAATAAAACAAAGACATTTTCTTCTTTGAACATTGTTGACAGCCAGCTTGCATGGAGTTGATGAAACTGTACCGAGCTGTGTCCCTTGCACCACATAAGACAATTAATGTTTAAAAAGAAATGACCAGGGTGCTGAAGCACCCATCCCCTCCCAGCATTATGCGCCAACTGGCAATTAAGAACAAAAAATGACAGGTCAAAGGAGAACGGATGGCACAGAATGTCTGGAGTTTAAATAGAAGTCTTTAAGCAAGTCCTGATGTGAGAGGAGCACATTCATTGAGAGACTGAGCGGGGAGGTGATTCTTGTTAAACCCATTCCTTCTGCCGCAGCGGAGGAGTCTTCGCCCTTACGAGGGGGAGAATTTTTTGGCTTGTGCTCGAACTCTTTTTTCATATTCTACTCTGTTTTGGCTGGAAAAGGGATAAAAAAAAAAATAATAAAAAAAAACATAATCAGAGACACGAGGTAAAGAATCCTATTTTGACCAAAATGACATGGTAGAAAATGCAGGACTCCTCTCAGATCTCTCTGCTGTCAGATTTACTGTCACCAATTTTAGGTTTATAACAGTCACATTAAGAATTATTATTGTAATTTTGTACTCATACCATCATCACACAAGCTTAACGCCATCATTTAGGATTGACACACACACAAACTCACACTCACAGGACATGAGGTCCCTGACTGTGCTTCTACTTTGATTGCTACAGTTTATTCTTCAGAACTCTTTAAGTGCACGTTTTAAAGATTTAAAAGAAGCCTGTGCTATTGATCACTATCATCCAGGTCTTGCAGTCACATTTGTGTCATCAGTCAGGAGCTGGTTTGCTAAAATGACTAGTTAGCAATGTAAGGACGTAAGTTAAGGAGAAAAAACATTTCAGTGTCAAATAGAAATCAACCTACTACAATGGCTAAACTAATGATACAGTTAGGTCATGTTATCAATACCTTGTTTTGAGCCACAGAGATTTCTGGACCGTATAGATTTACTTAAGCTACAGTGCACACAACAAAACAAAATCCAAGAAAGAAGAGTGGGTCCGAAACAATTTCTACTTCAAGGTTTTGTAGTGTTGCTTTAGCTATAGGAACTTTACAAGGTCTCTGCCCAAAGTTGACAATACTGATGCATTAGTCAAGAGAACAATTAAAATTTATTTATTTATTTTTTTAAATATTTGAATACCTTAAAAGCTGCTTTTCCACTGAAAGATATAGCTCGACTTGCTCTTTTTTGGTTTTCCATTGTGGATATTACCTAGTACCCTTTTTGGTATCCAAGTGAGCTGAGCCAAAACTAAAAAGGTGACGTGAAAGCACTGCAGACCACTTATTGGCCAGAGTAGCGTAGCGAGTGAGTGTGACAGTGAAAGCGAGTAGTGCAGAGGAAAAGTCGAGCGTGAAGTTGTCTATCTGGCAGTAGATTCACAGTGTAGGTTACAGTCCGTCAGTGAATAAAAGCTTCTCATAGACCAAAGTAAAGCTCTGTGTGTTTCCTAACTGCTGGAATAGCGTTGCTATGACAATTGGCTCCGCCGACATTGAGTGGACACTATCTGCAGTGGAAAACAAACTGGAGGTACCGAAAGCGAGTAGAGTCGAGCCGAGCAGAACCATGTAGTGGAAAACTATGTTATTACAATGCAAGTATAACTTGCCACTGTACACAGGAAATCAGTAACGGACTGCTTTGCCTTTTTCAGACACGTCACTTTTAGCAATTTTACATTCATTCATCATATCTGAAGAGATGAAAAAGATGAGATCCAGTGTCACTCACCAGTAGATTGTGTAAGCCTCTGCTTGGGCTGGATCCTGGATATTTGGTTCATTTAGGAGTTCCTGGATACCTAATAAGATCTGTAGGATAAATAAACCAATCAGACAAATAAAAAAAATAAAAAAAAATAATCAGGTTCTCAGTCAGTTGCGTGAGCTCTTATTTGGGTTAGATCTCATTGAAGGATATTTTATACATTTAAATTAGAATATCAGAAAACATACACTTTAAATATACCAGATCACCTAAGTTTCAAATAACTATACCAAGATAACTGAGAATAAATTACTTTAACAACACAAATTTAGACACACAGTAAGACACCAAAGGTTGTTTTTTGGGGAAATCCCTGTAATGTAAATGAGGTATGCCTGGCAATGCAAACCTGCTTTATTGTGATGGCTGGTCTCCAGTCCTTGTCCTCCTCTAGAATAGATAGGCATACTGTGCCTGATGGATACACATTTGGATGAAAGAGCGGAGGCTCAAATTTACCTGAAACACACACATAAGTGCACTTATGTTTCGGATCCATTACAAATGTCAAGACAAGATGAACAAAACCCACAAATGTCACTAGGCTTTTTCACACCATACACTGGGTGAACTGTTCCACTACAGGCAGCAGCTTCTGTTGTTCACACGAGCAAAGGCTTAATGTTATTCTAATGTGACATTCAGACGACACCACCCCTGTTGCTAGATATTAGAAACATCAGGTGTCACAGTGCCCCAACACTGTATGTGACTAACAGGGGTGATAGGCCAGTATGCTATGAATTGTCACAACTCTTTTAGCACCATAGCTGTATCAGCGCTAAAAATCTTTACTGGCTGTACAGTACTGTAAAAAGATCAGAAAAGGATGCATGTGTGAGAGCACCAACTATCATCAACCTCATATCTTGTGAACTGCAATGGATATAATTAAAATGTCTCCTTACATGAATGAATATCAAGTCCCAGAAGAGTAGTATGTAGTAGTGAGTGGACTGTCTGTTGCTTTTAGATCAGCTTCAACAACCTCTGCAGTGTTCAGAAGTTAGTCCTTGGCTATATATTATACTACTCTTCATTGCAAGGATACTTCAACAGGTTGGAAGAGCTTTATGATTCAGTTTGGCCATGTGCCTATTGGATGATAAGGGGTTTTAATTGGACATCATTTTATTCAGAATTAGAGTTTTGAGTTTTGAGAATGAATACATTGGCAGTAGGCTTGCCACAGCAGTTGGTCGCACTGTTTTGCTTTTATCAATACTTAATCGGACGACACTACTGTTGCTGCTCTGTACGGCAGCATTGTCGCAGCACAGTGCACGGTTCCGACTCTTAAGAAATCATTTTCCAGGAGTTTTGCCTCAATACGCCTAGTATTGAAACACTTAACTTGAGTTTTCTTCCTCCTTTTTGAAATGATGCAGGGTTCATGATGAAGTGTCTCAGGTTCGTGGAATGACGCTGAAAAGATCACTGCAAGTCCCGCTCTGAAGTGTCATACCACACAGCTTATTCTACCAATAGTCGAGTTTCAAACAAAACACCTAGGTTTATGTAGGCGATCTGAGTGAGGTGTCAAGACAGAAATTATGCCTGGTACTAAAAATGCCATCAAAGGTAGACATGTACTGTGGTGTACACCTGACTTTACATTCCAGATGTAGCTTATTTTCTGTGTAGTGTGTGTTATCAAGCTCATCTACTGACTGAATAATGCATACAAAGCTTAATAACAGTGTGTGTAGTAATCACAATAACAGTTCTGTTTATGCCGAACACACGTCAGACACAGTAACTCACATTTTGGAGGTGAAGAAGGATAGTCATCCTTGAACAACATGCGCAGTTTGAACAGGCCTCCTTCCCATGGAGTCTAAGGAGACACAATACCATTAGATCAGCTTCTTAACAGAAAGTAACCATTAAACATATCACACAAGGTTCCCCCAAAACATTCCTGAAAATATGTCTCAGTACACTTATTGGTAACATACTAGTTGTATTATGTAATACAGCTTTAAAACCAGGCATGCTCTTTTGCATCTGCTACACTCATTGTCTTATAAAAGCTCATTGTGTTCTGCAGAGCAGTGGTTCGTATGTAAAGCAAAATTGTACTGTATGCAAATAGCCTATGAAACACAACATTACCCCTTTCTTGCCAGGAATAGCACATTCCCAATTCATAAGATTCATGGTTCCATCTGGGTTTTTTGTTGGTACAGCAACAAATCCCTGAAAAATTGAATAGGAGAACAAAAAGCTACAGTTAAGACAAGTTAACAAGCAGTTAAGACGTCAGTGTTTACTAAAGGACTTGATGCTATATAATGAAAGCTCAAATAGACCCGCACAGTGAATCCAGAGCAGGTGCATCTCATAAGACACTACTTACAAAAGGATGGTCCTTCCGCCATGCCTTGCGCTCCTGGGCAAGCCGGCTCAATGCAATGCCTGACATGATTCGTGGACTCCTGCAATGAAAGAGAATGTCAAGTCAATTATATGAAACCATGCCCGACATCAGGTCTGTCTCGGCAGAGGGGATTCACCAAGTTGTAGATTTTGTGGGGGAGTTTATAGCCTTGGAATGACCTTGTAATAAATTGTTTTTAGATGTGAAATGACTCATCAGGTAAGTCATTTATTAAAAAAAATAAAAAATAAAAAAAAATAAATAAAAAAAAAGGGGGGAAAAGGATGTTCTAAGGATTTGGTGCTTCTTTTCTACTTTATATAATTGTAAATGAAACATCTTTGGGTTTTGGACTGCCGGTCCAACCAAACAATAAAAAAAAACAATGGCTTGTTGGGTTTTTGGAAAGTCATTTTTTTTTATGCTTTCAGAGACATTTTTAACCAAATTACTAATAGAGCAAAACATAAGATGAACTAATAAAACAAAATTATATTCATTTTAAAAAATGGCAGTTGTAGCCTTTATTGTTTTGGTCCATTCTTTAAGATTCTGGCAGTTTTTATGACTCCAAGCACAATATGGTATAACCTCCCACACTTTGTAAAGCAGTCCAAGCAGTGATATTACAGCACGAAGACACAGGCTTGCATACTGTTATAGAGAAGCATCATTTTGGTTCAGTTTTAATGGTTTTGAGTTGTGGAGTGCTTTTCAGACACAAGGGGTTTGGGCTCTTTCTACTAGATTCTGTGATAATACAACTACAAACAGTGACCGGTAAGACTATCATCTTCTGTAAAGTGATCTAAAGTAGTAATGTCGCTGTATTAGAAAGGTGAAAACCTGACATTATCCATGCAGTGATCACCTAAAGCTGCCTGCGTACACAGTAAAGGACCTACATACATTTATCGTAAACACACACACACACACACACACACACACACTAATGAGCCCCTCCTCTCTAATTGAAGGTGTATTAATTAATACACCGCGGTGTTGACAGTCCGGTCCAGAGCCAATTAGCAGCTCTAATTAAGAATCTCCATTGGAATGTCTAATGATCTCTATAGCAACGGTGCTTCAGAGGCAACGACAACGAGGCAAAGCAACAAAACAGCAGCAACTAGCAGCAACTACTCACTGCCCACGTAGTATTTACTAACTCTACAGCAGTGGAGTTGTATTCTATATTAGACGGACAACTTAAGACGCAGCGTTAACCTGTTTCCGTCCGCCTTTACAGTAATGCGTTTAAAGTATCGTTTCAACCTACATGTCTGGTTCGCTAAGGGGGTTAGCCAAGTTATCGTTAGCCGGTGGAGAGACATGTCTACAAACAAACGCTTCTCTCTCTCTCTCTCTCTCTGTCGGTTGCGCCTGCTGTTCAACTTGAGGGCCCCGGGAAATGAAGCCATTAACGTTTCATTTTGTTTCATGTTCTTTGCTTTACCATAAACTTGCTGTCAACGCGAACGTCCACAAACTGACTATCAAAGCTATTTCATTAGCAAGCTAGCCGGTTAGCTTGACAAGCTAACTCATGTGCGCCAGAATCGTGCTACATCTCCACTGGCGCTGTTAGCGTTTGACACGGCCTGATGCAGCACAAAAAATGCGCAATTGCACTTGATTTGGACACAATTTTGTATGACAGAAAAGTGAGCACAACCCCTTTTCTCAAGCTTAATAACACCCCCTCTGGAATGACAAGCGGGGATGTGAAATATTCAACAGGAATAAACCATATCATAATCCATTAAAGAATAGGGACAAAGAACGCCAGAGCTAAAAGGCGCACATTTGTGCATTACCAAACTAGCGAAAATGGCGCAAACTGAAGCGGGTAAAATATCATAATACACGACAAAATTAACACGTTCCTTTATCAAGGTGTGCTCCTACCTTTCAGTATGGCTGCACTGGCTCTGGTAAATAAGCGAAATGTATTAATCGTGCTCAAATCCCGTTAAACCTTGCAAAGTTTCCCTCCTGAAAAACCACCCGCTCCGACTCAAGCCAGACACAGAAACAGCGGAGCGAAACAGTCATCCGTCGTTTACTTCCGTCTTTGCTTAAGTACCCCTAGGAAGCTATATCGGGGCGCGTTTATTACTCTTTTTAACTGACAGTAATTCAGCCGAAATAATTTTTACTGGTTACTTGTTTACTAGTTTCCATTTTATGGGAGCAGCACAGCTTCTACTGATAGCACACCGTGCACCACAAGCAGCTTTAAGTTGTTGGTGAAGATCAGCTTTGCTTTGCGGTTGTTACTCTTCGCGCATGCGCTCTTCGGCTATCTCACATTACCTGTTCAGAAAATGTAAAAACGCAAGGGTTTGTAAGGTGAAAGTA